TGATGCGGCTGCTGGCAGTGCCGGCATCTGTTGGGCGAGGTGCAATTGTTGCCGTAGTGGTCTCGGGAGAGACAGTTGCTGCAGAGCCGCCGCTGGCGGACTGCATGCAGCTTGTCCCGAACCGAAAGGTGGCACCTGATCGCCGTGTGGTTACCGGCGCAGAAGGGGCACGTCCCTCAATCTTGCTGGTCCCGGCGATTGTCTCGGTAATTGTTGTCCCGGTCGCGACGGGAGTTATTATCATTGCGACGTGGTTGGCCGCAATTATCGTTCCGGCGATTCGGGGAGCAACTTTGTGGTCGGTCTGAGGAACGTCCGCGCTGCCGCCACTTGCGTGGGGGGCTGCGGGAACGCGATTGCCCTCGCCGAAACGATTGTCGCTGATTATTGTTGTTGCCCCTATTTTGTTGCTGCCGTCGATTGCCGTTAGAAGTCGACGGAGCGGCATTTGCCAGATTGACGTTGGCCGCAGCCGCTGGTGCGGCGGCTGCTGCGGCAGGTGGGGCCGCGGCCGGGGCTGCGGCAGGTGCTGAGGAAGCCGCTGCGCCGTCAGCCGGGGCCGCTGCGCCCTGAAATGCTAGAACTGGTGGCGCCTCCGCCATGCGGAGTTTGTGCGCGAAGTAGGACCGGATGAATCGGTATTGCCGATGAGGGCGCGTGGCCCAGACTGGGTCCAGCTCAGGCATCTGAGCGTGGCGGTCGGTATAAGCCTGGAGGACTTCCAGGTAATTGCCGCGTTCTAAATGCGCGCGTAGGACCGGGCCCACGCAGAGGTGCACGAAATTCATGTCGGTCTGAATTGTGCTCAATTTTTCCATTATTTGGACAACTCTGTTAAAATAGTCGTAAAATTCTGGGAGAGTGTTGGGTGCCGGAAGGCGATCAAATTCGCGGTAGAGTTTCAGGCGTACCGCGTCCGTCTGCCCGTATTCGGAGAAAAGCACCTGGAGAACGCTGAGGTAATCCATATTAACGTCTTGGTATGCAAATGCGCCGACGTTTTCTTTTGCGTCACCATCAAGGTGAAGGAGCAACACGCGGATTCTTTCGATGTCCGTGAGTTGCGCGGCAGGAATGATATGGACTGGCAGAAAGTCGCGCCAAAGGCGCTCAAACGGATAATTGGAGTCCGCTTGGCCAGTAAATTTGTTGAAGGAGGCGTCGCGAGCCTGCTTCTCATACGTTTTAACGAGGTCATGATGGGAGAGGCTGGTTGGTTGCCCCGTCCCGTATATGGTGAGAGCGTGATGATACGCCTCGTAAGGTCTTCCCTGCGGCTGCAGGATTGAAGAAGGCCCGGACTCCGAGTTGCCGTAGCTGGCTGGAGCCGGTGGATGTAGTAGTGCGGGCGCCATGGGGCGCAAAGGGACAAGCTGTCCCATCGCGGGATGCGATGCCGCCGATCCTGCGCCGCGCGACGTGCTGGGCATGTTCGGCGGTAGCACAGGAATCGGCGCCCCCCTGGGGGAGGGCTGAGGCGCGGCGTGCGCCACCGATGGCGTGGGAGGCGCGGGTACCTGTGGCACCGCGGGGAAAGCAACCCCTAAAACACGGGGCTGTGTCGGGCGTAAGCGCGGCCACCCCCCGGTCATGACGTCCATGGATTGCACCAAAAGGGTGTTCACCTCGGTTGCCAATCGCGTGAGGGCGGCGATTTCGGGCTGCGTGAATGCAGCAGGAGATAGGTCGATGAGATGCGCTGCTGCATCAAAAA